GAATGAAAATTTTTTGGAATTTAGCGTCAGTCCTGCTCTTTGGATACATTTCAGTATTTCCCTTAAACGCTTTTGATGTTCTTCAAAATTAGGTGCGTACATGATTATGTTGTCGAGGTAGCAAAGACAAATATTCCATTTGAAACCTCTTAGTACCGTGCCCATCATCCGTTAAAATGTGGCTGGAGCAATGCATAATCCGAATGGCATGACTTTAAATTCATGACCAAGGGCCTGATGGTTGTATCACATCTTTTTTTAGCATTCGTTGCACTTCGTCTGCAATCACACGCCTCTCAGTGGCGCTGACACACGGTATGGCCTTTGTTTGATTGGTGCACTGTCACCTGTACCAATCTTGTGCTTGTACCAATGTCCACTAAGCTATGAGGAGCTCGGTCGAAAAGAGCAATTTTCGCTACATTATAAAAGATCACTTTTTATTACTTTAAAATATTCACTAACAATAATCGAGAAAATTATGTATAAAATAAATCATTTCCTAAGACTGTTTTTTGCAATATTGTTTTTTTGTAATTTGTAAATTACTCGCTAGTGTTACTAATAAACCAGTATACCAAACTTTTTGATATTTTTATTTTACTCCTGGAGGAGTATATTTAACGAACTTGAATCTGGTAAATTTATTACACAATTTGATAACCTTCATAGAATACTTCCATTATTACATATTTTGTTGTTTATAGACCATAAAAATGATTCTATGTGTTTAAAGAGAATAGCAAAAGAAAATGCTCTATGGAAAAAAAAATAAGATAAAATGATGATGATTCTGCTAAGCATGTGCAAACTTATAGGAGGGATCTATTGCTCAATGAAACTTGGAATTATGTAGCAATACAAGAAAGCATCATCTTCATGTGTTAATACAGTCGTTTTCACTATAGCTAGACAATCATTCCCCACCTTTTCCAAAATTTAAAAAATACATATGCTTTAAGATTTAGATTTTTTTAGTTCAAAAGAGCATTAGCTCAGATGGGCTGTTATTCTTGATGCGGGATTTTGTGTTGAATTACTGTAAAAGGCTAAATCACTTTTCAAATTATTGCCACCAAATATCATCACCTTTATTACTTTAAAAGAAGAATGTGCATTAAGTACATTCATAGGAAAATGTGCATGAATGTAGGTATGTTTCTCACATTGTGAAAAAATGACAGTACCTAGAGCAATTAAATTTTGAAAAACATAATCCTCCCCCCGAACATGGGCATCTGGAAGCTCAGATTTTGAATTTGTTTTATTATCTATTTCATATTTTTTAAAACTTAACGAATTTTTGATTAACAAATTCAGCAAAGCAAGCACTGTACGGAAAAAAAACATCTTTATTTATATTACTGTTGAACTGTATGTGGTTTAAGTGTGAAGAACATATTTAATAAATAAAGGATAATACACAAAATGTTAAAAAAATGCCTAAATTCACGTATATCCTAGGAAATTTTGAATAAAAAACTTTAATAATATATTAATATAAAATTCTTTGCAGGTATGCTTAAGGTTATAATTTAAAAGTTTTACAAAAAATTTATAAAAAATATCTAAAAATACAAATTTTAAAAACAAATCATAAAAAATGGCCAAATTTTATTTGGAATGGACCTAAATTTCGAATTCTGGAAGAAGGAGTCAAGTAAATTTAACAAAGAACAGAGATAGATATTAATAAATATATATAAAATTGAATTAACATTGAAGAGCTAAAATTATGAGTGCTAATTTCATTGAGATTGAACCTAAATTTTGAATTCTGGAAGAAGACAAGTAAGTTTAATAAAGAACAAAGATATTATAAATATATACAGTACAAAGTCCAAAATTCGGACGTCCATTATCCGGAATGATCTAAAATCTGGACCTCAAAGCCAAAAGCTTTTTTTTTTTTTTTTTTTTTTTTTTTTTTTTTGGTATGCATGCACATTTGATTTTTCCTTCCATAATAAAGTCATTTAAAAATTCCGATTCTTAATTTCACTTGGGCACTATATAAAATACCTCATTATGGAAAAACAATCGTGTAAGCATAAATTTGTGAGATTAATAATTTGGCTCTGCAGTTGAGTATCTGCTTGGCATACATCTCAAACTAAACATTCACCTATTTTATATCCCTGATGCCACCTGGCGAGTCATTATTTATTATATTTTGCTTTCATCACCGCATGTTTTTCAAAACATGGCAGCTTCAGTAATAACTCGTGCAGTGATGTCTAAACTTTTTTTTATATTAGTAATTGAATAACAAGAGTATGGCAACCTTTTATGCTAACATTACATTTGGCGATGATTATAGATTTTTAAATGCTATAAGAAATGTTGACGAAGAAAAATTCAACAAAAATTTCTTTTCATATGGTAAAAATAGATTTTGCTAATGAAACTCATAGACCAAAAGATTACATTTGGTGTTATTTTATAATTAAGAATAAGTGATATGTTATTCACCATAAACCCAGAAGCGACGGCAGAATTTGGGGAAGACAATTTTTGCAATTTGGGGAGAGACCGAGTGGCAAAATTAAGGGATGAGAAGTTTTTTATGATTTAGGGAAAGCACCTGGAATCCAAAGTTTAGGCGCGTCGGAAATTTAGAACTTCGGAAGGCACTTTGTAGCAGAATTAAGGACCTGTAGAGACTGCACCAGGTGGTATCTAGCCTCAGCCCTAGATAAAGCCTTAAGTATATGAGGGAGTTTACTTATTTAGGACTCGGATTAGTTTGAAGCATGTGCAAGAAATACACGTAGGTACAGTAAATAACTAAACTATTTAGGCTTAATTCAGTATGCAGTAGGAGCAAGACAAAATTTAGCGAAACAACTTGGCTTTCGTCGCCAATCTTGTGATACACAGCCAATAATGCATAATGGACGCTATAAAGCTAGGCTAAAATTATCTTTACTGATTCTAAGGCATTTCAGTTAATGTAGCAGACTGCGCAGCTCCCTAATCTTCTAATTTGATCCAGCTTATTATTTTTTGCAGATTGTTATTATTACGGCAATTTTATAAAAGTTAAGCTTGAACTTTCGATTATGTCAAAAAGAGTTTCCAATTCTGGGTCTGCCTAAGAATCTACAAAACGAAACCATGTTTTGATATCCATTAAACAAAAAGTGGAATTGCTGCAGAAAATGGATAAAGGCATATTAATTATGCAAGGAGCATGGCATTAAAAAGTTGACTGTACATGACATAAGAAAAAAGAAAAAGGAACTTTTTGAATTTTTTGTGGAAGCAACTTAACCAACATACATTGAAAGAAATGTTTAATAAAGTAAACAGATAAATAATAAGCTTTTTTTTTTCTGTAAATTTTGATATCCTTTAGATCATAATTGTTTTTTATTTCATAAATTACGATTTCATATTTTTAATTGTATAATTTCTGCATGCCACCATACCAGATTTAAACTGATGATCTAATATCCGGAAAAATGCCAAATCTAGAATCGCCAAAATCCCGACGAGTCCAGATTTTAAACTTTGTACTGTATCAAAATTAATTAACATTGAGGAGTTAAAATTATGAGAGCTTTCGTCAGTCAGCACGGGAGATATAGAACTCTCCTTTTTGTTTTGTGCAGTGTACATTAATAATGTTCCATCGTATTTAAAAGTTTTAGATAAACTAAAATATTTCTTCCATACTTAGGATTTCTCAGTTTAAGAATATTACAAAATGAAATTAACAGAAGAAATAAAATTTAGAATATCTAATTAATTATTAATATATTTTATATCAGAATCACATTTAAAATAGTTAAGTGTTTTAAAGTGAATTTATATCAGTTTGGAGTTCTTTTGAAATAGCATCTCTGCACAGCATGAAAACTTCCTAAAACTTCCAGGTTCTTTATATTTCAAGCTTGGCGATTACACATGTTAAGTGAACTCAAGAATTAAGTGTACACTATTTATTACCTCTGTCGCTGCTTTACAAAGGATGGTATCCTAAAGAAAGATATGATCATTTCTCACAGCTGAACAATGCCATTACTGCAGGAAAATAGCATTTCTGCTCATGCATTGTTGTGAATTTTAGTTTGTCTGTTTAACATTCAGTCCTCCCAGAAGTTTATATATATTAACTGTTCAGAAAAACAAAATTGGAAACATTACTAGTCCTTTAACACATTATAAGGTCCTAGTCATGTACATATGCATACTGCAGTTTAATTTGATGGCTCTTAAATTTATACATAAAACTCAAGTAATTTGATGTAAAACCACAATTTTATAGTTTAATGTTGAGATGTCATCATGTTAGGTGTATTTATGAGAATAGCTGAATAAATTTAATTATATAATGGAAGCATATATCATCAAAAAATGATTTTAATATTTTAAATGTTATTATATAAAATGTATTTAATCAAACTATCTCTCAAATATGAAAATCTAGATTACTTGTAAAATATACACAATTATAATACAATAAGCTTTTAAAATATATTCTCTCAAGCTGATTTTTAAAATCCAATTCTTATTCTTTCTGATATCGGCATGACAATACATTTTAGCCCAGAAGGGTTATTAACTTTGTTTTGGAATTTTGCATCGGTTCTTTTTTTCAAATTGTTGCCACCAAATATGTTAGCCCTATATTATAATTAAGGAAATTGAATAATGAAAAATCTGCATGAATGTATGTATGTATGTTTCTTGCACTGCGAAAAAACAGTTGTACCTAGAGACATCAAATTTACAATAAGTTGTCCTTCACTAGAATATGGGACAAACCTGATAATTTTAAAGCGAGCAATGGCAACACTGTACCGGGGAAAGGATTTTATCTCCAGCACGAGACTGTGTATCAGAAATTCTAAAGCTATACTCTTTTAAAATTATTTTCTGATATTGCTGTTGAATTGAATTTTATGATTTAAATACGAAGAACATGATAGTTAACAAATAAAGGTAACACACAAAACATAAAAAAAAAAAAAAATAATAAAAAAAAAAAAACCCTCTTTGGGTGTTATATAATTATTTTTTGAAAGTCATATCAAACATATCACTTTTTTCATTATTCATTTTGCTGGGTTGCAGTTTTTACATTTTTGTCATTTTCCGGTGGTGATTTGGGTGCAGGAGGTACTTTAGGAGGTATTATTATACACTTAAGAGCATCTTCCTTTTGTCGAACATCTAAGATTCGGCATTCATTTTTCAGTTCATTTTGCAATTTTTCAAATACTTTTTTCTGTAAGGATAAAAGAATTTTCAGTAATACAAATTTTACAAAGAAAACATTATTAAAAAAATTAATGAAATACTATGACACAAGCAATTTCTACTTCCACAGTTTTCTGAATTGTGTCAAGAAAGCTACATCCCAAACATTTTCTCTTAAATTCTGTTGGGATGTTTTATGGTTTATGCATTTCACTAAATACTTGGACTAATGAGGTATCAGCATTCTTTGATCTCATCTAAATAATAAGTAAAGTCCCAGTGTTGCCATGTCTCCATGTCACCTTACTAGATTTAAACTGATGATCTAGAATCTGGTAGACTTTTGGCCATCTAGTGCAAATACTGCCACCTGGTTCCTCCCAAAATTGTAAAACATTTACTGCCCCTAAATTATATCTGCTGGTATAGTTACACGGGTAGCAACAGTTCTGACGCTGGCCCTGCTTAGATGTAATGATGTAGAAATATTGGTTGCACAGATATTGATCGGTTATGAAAAGCAAACTGGGCAGCCAAGGCAGATTAAATGTTCATATTTTCCAATTGACATTTGTGGCCACGATTCACTTAGCACTCTAATGGGGGCCTATTTCCAGAACGTTTATATTTTTGATATTGCTGCGGTAGGATGAAAGCAGTACAGCAGCAGAGGTAGAAGCAAAGAACATAGTTATCCAATATGGCAGCTTATCAAGGGAAAAGTTTCGGTTCTCGAAATTTTGAGTTCCAGATTAGCTACGTCATCATCATTATTAAAAGTCATATAATCTGAATTCATCTAGAAATGATGCAGTCCATAAAAATTATTACTATCTCTAGAATAGAGAGGGGAAATACCTAAATTAAAATGAGTAATGGCTATTGTTAACTAAAATTATAATTTTGATTTACATATTTTTTATCTTACATATGTGTTTTTTCCATTTAAGAAAAATGAGAGCTCAAGGTTGGGAGACCTTTGTAATAGCTGTCATTTTTGTAATTACTTAATTATAAACTCAGGTATACCATCAAACAAATCTTATCCTCAACTGATTAATAACAACAACAACAACAACCTACTTTTCCTGTATCATTTACCCTGAGATGCCTTTTGATTATTGCAGCATTTTGAGCAATTAGTATATAACTCAGTTAATAATTCCACTTTTTTTGCTTATATAAATAAACTTCATGATTTAAAATTATAATTCTTATGTTATAAACTATATTTTGGATAAAGGGATTGTATATTTTTTGTGTGTTATGTACAGCTATAAATTTGCGAGGAGAAAGAGAATAGAATGTGCTGCACTTGCTTTACAGTATAAAAAAGGTCAGGAATTTGCTGATCGAATTAAATAAATGAGTCAATACCTAAGTTTATCAAATAAAATATATATATATACCCTTAAGTCTTGTGATTCATTATTTCCTGAAGTTATAGCAACATGGACTTCGCAGTTTTTAGAAATCCATCTTTGTATAGTCTTTATCTTCGTGGTCAGATCATGATCTGCTATTCGACCATTAATTGGTAGTTTTTTTAGAACTTTAGCATTAGATGTTTTCTTTTCTTGCTTCAGCACATCAGCACTGGATATTAACTTGTAAGCAGGATACATTTTACCAAATTTTGTATCATATACCCTCACCAATCTAAAATGTTTGAGGAAAAAAATGATAAAATTAATCATTTTAAAAGCACTAATGTATTTCTTTTTTTTTTTTTTTTTTTTTTTTTTTTTGTTTAAGCTTATGCAGATGCTATAAAAGATCTCATACATGAAACAAAGAAGTACACAAATACACTTCATAATTTACAAATTTTTTCATATGACATTAAATAGAGATTTATATAACTTCAGCATTGTTGTTAAGTACAAATATTTTTTTCTCACCATTCTTAATGATAATATGCTTTATTTTCACAAATAAAATATCTGTTAAGATTTGACAATATTTTAATACTCTCCCACCAGTTAACGAAGATGTTTGCAGAAGTTTGAAGGAAGATATAATTCTTTTTTTTTAGTTAATCAACACATACAAATTATGAATAACACAAAAAACTGAAATAGATATGAGCTGAAGTTTGCACTTATCATTCTGGTAGAAATTTGAAAGGAACAGATCATTCAGTCTCATAATTCTAAAAACAGCCCACTGCATGCTGTTCAGTAGAAAGCAAATATTGCATCAATAATTTTTTCAAAATGATTGAAGTTGAAGAATAGAGAAACAGCGGTTAATCCTCCGACACGCAAGGCCGTACAGCCTAGAATATTTTTTGTGTTGTTTGTACGAACATATATATATATGTATGCATTTTGAAACACGTCCAAGAAATTAAGGCAATATATTAAAGGTGTATATATGCAAGTATAAATTAACAGAGATATTTTGGCACTAAAATAAAAAAAATACCTCTTTCTTGTGGCAGTTTTCGGAAATTTGGGCTTTCTTAGCGAAACGTCCCAGATAGAAGGTTTAAACTATATTCTTCTCATCAAAAATTAAACTGTCTAATCAAAGATTAATCAAGATCACACAAAAACCCGCTCGGAAATTATATGAAATGTGTAGTGACATCATGATTATTCATTACTTGTGTTACATCATACCATTTGCTGACAATTTTGTTTCTCAAAAATGGTCAAAAGGAACGTACATTAATATAGAAGTAATTAATTAAAGACAAAATGTTCCACATCTTTGCATGCAAAATTCTAGATTTTTGAGGATTTTTTCTTGAGAGAATTTTTCCATTCCTAGGATCAATTTAAATTCAAGACTTTCAGTTGGGGGGAGGTGCAGCTTCAAATTAATGATTTCTTTTAGCTGAAACAGCATTTTTCATCAAATTTTCCTTTATTGTAGGTGAAAACTTTTATTATGTATATCTCAGCAAGTACACAAAAGTATAGCATTTTCAGCACACTAAAATATAATGAATATTTCACTAATTAAAAATTTACTATGTTGACACCACACAGATTTTCTCAGTGCAAACAGCCAAAGTTTGCATTGCAAAACAGATCCAAGTATTAAGACTCAGGTAATAATCTTTTTTATTAATGCAATCACTTTCACACATATGGGCAATTTTTTATTTCTTTTATCAAATGATGGCTTACAAAAAATTATATATAACATGTATTTATACCATTACCTACTTATTTTGTGTTTTAATTAAGTATTTACTTTCATCTTAAATATCAATAAATAAACATATTTAAAAGCAAGTCTTCACTTTTATTTGTTTGGGTAGACATTTCGGTGCTTAAGAACTAAAACAACCACCTTGGTGCCATACAGTGTTTTTTTTAAAGCAAAAATAATGGTGACTTATAATTGCAAAAACATAGTTACACACATACATATGATTACACAGTACATAATTTTCAAATCTAGACATATAATATCCAGACTGATCTAACATATGGGTATCTTGAACACCCAATCAGTGTCGTAGCTAGGGTGGGGCACGGGGGGTCATCTGTCCCTGGGCGCAGCATCCAGATGGTGCCAAATTGATGCTACGAAATTTTTTTAAAGAAAAGTTTTCCATTCTTGGCACACAGAAAGTGGACGCAAATTCATCAGTTATCCCCGGGCGCTGGAATCCTAGCTACGCTACTGCACCCAATCAAAACAAATAAATAATAATTAAAAAATTCTCCCCTTCCTTGCAAAGTCTAGGAATAGAGGATATAATAAGAAATGGAAAAACGTGCTATAAATGCGATTTTCCTCCATACTGAATGATATTCCTGCATATCGCTAACGCCTGCTGGCTAGGAAGTCACGCTGTAGCCAGTAACTATGCATTGATTGACATTGTATTGATGTTGGCCAGAATTATACTTTCAGCCCTTCAATAGTTATGGGGAGGGCAGGACAAGTGTTATATATTTTGCTGCCCAGTGCAATCTTTTTGGGCTCTAAATTCTGCTGCCTAGGGCCTCTTCTAAATTCTAGAAATTCTGCCATCCCTAATTCTTGCTGCTTGGTGCTTCTCCAAATTCTAAAATTTTTCCCACCCATAAATTCTGACACTTGATCCGGGTGCACTGGTTGCATGTGTTTTCACACTCTCCCTGTAGCGGGGGGCATTTTTCTAGCTGATTTAAGCGATAAGTGAAACCCCAAATGTGGCATGTTACCTTATTAAACTGTTGATCTGAAATCCGGAATCACCAAACTCCTAATGATTCTGGATACCTAATTGGATTGGATTCTCCTAATGATTCTTTGCACTGTACATATATTTTATGTTTTAATTTGTATTTATCCCAGAAATAAATCAGTAAAACCTAATTACAAGCAAGTTCTTATTTCTTTTAAAGGAATTTTTATGGTGATCACTTTAAGAATAGATTTCTTCAGCAATTTTTAGGTAAAATACCACATTCCTGCAGAAATTTCACCATGGTTTCTTCCACTACAAATCCCACCAGCATGCATTTTTAAATTCAGTTAATGGCAAAAAAATATCATTATTTTTCTATCAAAAAGTTGGAGTACAAAAAAGAACATGTACGAAAAGCACATGGTTGCCTGAAGAACTTATGAGCGTAGTTGCCAGAGTTTGGTGACTATTCTACTAAGCTGAATGCACTAATATTTAAGTACTGCCGAAACTTCATAGCGACTACTTTAATAATACATTCAGGATTGTTCCCTTCAGAAAATTTACAGCAAAATACTGTATTCTTACAGAACTTTACTGCAATTTCTTTCATAGCATGCAAATTCCCATGAGCATATTGGAAACAAAAATATCATTATTTAACCATAAAAGCAATTGGAACTTGAAAAATATCATTAAGTATGCAAACAGCAAACCAAAGAACTGTTATGCATATGGTTACCTAAAAAATGGTTATATTCATGTTTGAATTGAGAATTTGGCAACTTCTAATAAAGTAGTTGTGCTAACATACATGTACCTAGTTAGACACTATATTTCAAATGTTGATTACTTATAAAAACTCGGCGCCTATGCACATCATCTGATTTGTATCAACCAAATGAGTCAGCAAAAGAATTCAGAATCAGAACCACCATTTTACAAAAAACTTCATTTTGTTGCATTAGATAAAAAAAAAATTCATCAAAATTAAGGTAGTAACTTAAAATTAAAAATCTAAGAAATCTACATAATATTTTGCAGTATGTATAGATAATTCTTGCAAGCGTACTACAGAGGTCCCTTCTTGGGCCCACCCTCTTCAATATTTACATAAACGACATTCCCACTGCACTCGCAATGTATGCAAATGATACAGTGATCCTGACACAAAGTGCATTTGTTAGCTATCCAAAGCTTACAAGTACACATCCAAACACTTGAGATTTAGTTGGAAAAAAAGACTCAAGCCATCCTGTAGGTACCTCATATTGGGGTGAATCTCAGTAATTCTCTTACATAGACCCCACACATCACATCTATTATTAAGAAGTTTAAAGCCCGTAAAGCACAACTCTTCCCCTTAATTGTTCGAAACAGCATTCTATTTACTGACAACAAGCTACTCATTTACAAATCCATCTTCCGTCCAATATTATGTTATGCATGCCCTGTATGGACTTGCTCTTCTCATACTAATAGAAAGAAACTCCAAATGGCACAAACTGCATTTTGCGCCAGATAACAGATTTGCCATGGTACATATGTAACAACAGAATTCACCAGGAACTGAAAGTCAAAATACTAAGTGCCTGTTGCTACTGGCTTGCTAAAAACTTTTATTAACATCAAAATCTGATAGATAATCCTGTTATCAAAATCTGTGACTATGATGTTAACGACCCTCTGAACTGTAACAGACCAGAGTCTGTTCTAAACATGAATAATGATCAATTACTGTTCGTAATTTTGCCTGCTAGTTATGTGCATTTCTGCTGTAATGTGTATGCTCATATTTCACTTAGTTTCTCTGCATACCTAATTTCAACTCAACATATTGTAAGTTCACCCATACCTTAATTTATAGCAAGTCTTATCTCATACTACCTTACTTGAAAGCACTGTTACTTACATGTAATAATTAAAAAGTAAGATGCAAAATTATTACATCTTACTTTTTAATTATTGTTACATGTTTTCAGGAATTACAACAGTTCGACAGCTTTCTAGTTTAACAGCTCTATTACATCTCTTACTATCAAAGTTAATTTTACTCATTATCTATATCATTCAAAGTTATTCAGCTCATATATTAAATTATTTTGCCAATTTATTCCTAAAAAAAAGTTACTATTTTAGATTTAGTTTATGTTTTTGATACTGATTAGAAAAGTACAACTCTATTCAATTAGGGCTAAGGTCTCGCACCTAGGTATCCTGCTGTGTACACCGTTCCACAGAGGAGATATAATGTTGCTTTTAAACTTAAAATAGTTAAATGAAACCCAGGGTTTAATCCTAGTATATGGTAGACAACGGATCTGGTGACTTTCGCCAACATTATGGTGAGCAGTTATTATTTAATTTTCCATTTGTTCTTATATTCATACTGGAATTTATACACGTTATACGAATGTACTTGCCACCTGGCAAGTTAAGTTCATATACAAAATTCGTAACTTACGAAAGATTATGTTTTCTTGCTAGTTTTTCAGTTTCAGGTTTAGGTTTTAAACCTAATATTTTATCATCCTGATCAACCAATGTCACTAATTCAACAGTTTCTTTCACTTTTCTTTTAGGTGTATTCTTCTCGCACTGGAGAGGACGAAAAAAATGTATATTACGAGTTATAAAAGTCAATTTACGATAAGACTCCGCAATTCTGAACATCCTATGATCTAAATATTATTACAGACAACAAATATATTTTAATTAGTTCTAAGCCCGTTTTAAATATATTATTTCCTTTGTATTCACCTACAATCAGTTGTTCTAAAATTATGAATCGGAACAGAATAATGATTCTGATCTTCTCTCTAACTACCAACAATAAATAATAAATGAAATACTCCTAACAATCACACCAAGGTTCTTTAATATACTATCACACTATTAAAGTAAATAAACATTATGAAAAGCTGCTATCAGCTGTGTTGAGTTGTTTACATTGACTTCAAAAATTGCAGTGAATGTGAAAAATTTTTGTATTATGTCAAATATAATAAAAATTATTTCACTTCTAAAAGTTACATCGAGAAGTTTTCAAGCTTATACTATGGCTACAATAAATCAGTATGTTGCAAAGAATAAATATATAAATACATTTAGTAATATGGCAACAAATCGAATGTGTGAGGTGATCTGTTTATGTTGACTGTTTAAACTCTATAAACGTAATTCAAAGCAATGACCCTTTTATCGTAAAATATTTTAGTAGAAACAGGATCGTTCTGTTTTTAGTTTTCTGTGTTTTCTGTGTCTTTTATTAAACATAGAAATATATAAATATTCTTTTGCCAATGTATGGATAAAACATGATTTTGTGATCCTAAATATGTTTTATTGATTACTATCTGTCACTGACTCTTTATTTTAAAATCAACAATGGTGATTAATAAAAATTATTGTCATTCCTAATATGCATGTTTGAAATGCTTCTGATTTTAAACAGTTTTCCCGAGTTATTGTCTTCTGTAATAATATTCCTTAAATTAACATAAAATATTTTATATTTATTTTTCAGAATCCTAGGTTTAAATTCCCATAAAAAAGTACTGAAATGCCGTCGTTAAGTAAATTAGATGCTATATATCGCAGCATTATGCTGGCGAAGTTTTTTACGAAAGGTTGGGGCAAGCCTGATAATTTGAAAAGGTATTTATTATTTTTATATTAACAAATTAAAATTTTAATGTAAAGTAAAATTTATTCTTAATGCATTAATTTGAGTTGTTATGAAATTTGTAAATATTTTATAGAATTTAATGTTTCGTGACCATATGTATTGATTTCTAAAATCTTTTGATTCCTTTAAAATGACTGATTTAATTTTACTTTTAGACTTTTTGCGTTTCGTAAAGTGATAGCAAATCGTGAGACATGTCAACATTTAGTGGAATCTGATTATCCTGTTATCATTGACAATGTATGTAAAAATTTTTTTAGTTATTCAACTATTAACTTTTCTTTTTAAGTACTTATATATAATTTTTAAATGTGATCTCAAAATTATTATTAAATTCTTATTGTGTATTTTTATTTTAAAGCATAAAAGCATTTAAATATATTTAGAATTAGAATGTAAAAAGATGAATCATAGAAGATCATAGAAAATTCTATGTCATTTGAGAGAATGCTAAATTGATTTTCCAATCATGATGAAATTCTAGGAATTTAAATTTTTTATAATTTTTGAGTTTCGTATGTATGCATATTCTATTAGGGTGTATCATATCATCATTACATACAGTGGCTCACATTTGTTTTCAGACATGTGGGTTTTTCAGTTTTATTTGTAAGTATCAGTTACTAAATGTTAGCAAACTGGCTTTCTTTCATGTATACTATTGGTCATCTTTTTATCTTTTTACTTGCATGTTTTGAAAATAAATTCACATAAATATTTAAACACTTTGAACAAACAGTTCATACTCAATAAGAACACGGTACTTCGATATTTTATTAGATAATTAAATTACACTTTTCATGTGCTTTGTCATGAATTCAACTAATTTTTTCATATAAGAATGTCCATTTTGTTCTATTTTTCCGTATGTATTGTTTATAGTAGAGCTGTGAAAGAAATGTCATGTTTCCTGGTTCTTTTTCCTACTCCCTCCATACATGTTCAAAGTAATTTTAATTCGGAAAATATGGAAAAAGCTTTGATAACTTCAAACCACAAGCAAAGTAGAGCAATAGGCTTTTCTAATTAAGTTCTTTATTAGATTCTTCACAAGAATTAGTCCATCATAATTTTAGAAGTTTAGAATTCATCCATCATATCCAAATCTATTAAATCTTGACTTATCTGTAAAAAACACTGCTTCAGTAAGATAAATCTTTGGCTGATTGCCCACTTTATACATGAGCCCTAATGACTGTTCTGATAATTTCACGGTTAACTTTTATTCAACTGTTCTTTTAAATCCCATACAAGTTTTATGATACTAATGTTTGGGTTTTGTTTGATATTTTGTATTATTAATCTCCAAATCCTATGTATTACCTTAGAATATGGTCCAGAATTTAGGGCATTTTCAACAGCTCTTTGGAATTCCCATCATTTCATAGGATCAAAGATAGCTGAACATTTTGCATCAAGATTTTTTTTTTTTTTTTTTTTTTTTTTGATATTTCAAATACTTTTCCACCTTTAAAATGATGAATTGTTAAATATCTTAACAGAACTTGCTGTTAATCCGCAGCATCTTGTCATGTTCACTTCATATATGGAACTCTTTGTATATTTTTCTATATAATTGATAATTTGCAAATGCAGATTATAGTTCTTGTGATGTATTACCATTTAAAACAAAAAAATTATAAAAAGAAACATAATCTGTCAAAACATTTCAACAAAACTTTCCAGTGTCCAAATTATTATATGAGTTACTGATTAAGTATATTTTAACTTGATATAGAATTAATTTAGAACTGTTGAATATAGAATTAATGTAGAACTGTTGAGTATTCAACATTTATGGCTTGGCTGCAGAGATTATAAAATATAAAAAAAAAATTATTTATTTTCATTACACAAAAATATATTTGAAACTTTTGGGATAGAAAATCCCTCTAAAGACTCTGCTAAATTTTGTTTTGCTAAGGTGACCAATTTTTTTACAATGAAAAGGAGGACAAAAAGTTTAAGAAAAAAGTAAATCGCAAATAGATGAAACATTTTATTAATTTAAACACAAATACAACAATTATGTCTGCATCCCTTTTAATTATTTAATTAAAGGAATATTTTTCTATTGAATGAATTTTCTATTGTTTTGTCAATATATCATTTTCTAACAAAATAGTGGAAATATTGGAGCAAGAAATATTCTTCATATTGAATTTTACAGTAAGTGCTGCAGCTAAAGTATCAGCATTCAATCTTGATTTCTTACTTGTCCAAAAATCATTACCAAATAAAATATACTCCTTCAACTGCTGCATTAGTTCCAGGGCAACACAATGTAAATTCAACAAGAATAACTAAATTTTCATATGGAATGTGTTCATTTTTCAAATGGTTAAAATTTTCCACTCATCTTTTATCAATTTCAATATGTTGATTTTTCCCATTGTTGTAATTTATCAATGTTTAAATATACATTCAATCTTCTAATTTCTTCAAACAGATGATTGTCATCAATTTTAATATCGGGCATTTCTTTCGATAAAAACTCAAGACAATTTTCAATATCTACCCAGTTTACTTGCAATGAAGTCAGAAAACACCATTTAAAATTGTTAGGTACTGTTCCGTTTTGAGGACCGTAAAAAATCGCCAAACTGTTGTTGATGCCAGTGCTGCCAAAATAATTGCGGTAACCCTAACATAAGAAAGGAAGTACAATAGTAAATAACTATCTAAAGATTATTGTTTTAATTTATATGAAAAGTTAATTTCATATAATACTTTTCTATTATTATAATTTATATAAAAAAGGCTAAACATAACTGAATGGATTCCTGAATCGCTATTTCAGTACCAAGTTATCGCTAGAGCATAATTTCATCTCGTTGGTTGTTCAAACAAAATTTTCTATAATGAATGATGCCTTTTCTTTGAAAAAATTCTATTGCAGACTTTTCGTCATAGGCTATTCCCAATTAAACTAGTATTTCAATGGCGTCTTAAGAAATATAGAACTATCTAAACTTATGCAATTTGAAATCAGGGCTTATGCTAGATTTAGTGCACTGTTAAATGGGCACGTTTGCTAGATTTGGCGCTTTTGCGCATACATTTTTGCTGCAATTTTTTACGGTCCTCAAGACGGAATAGTACCAATTGTTGTTTATTGTGATATTTGTTTCTGACCATTCTTCGACATATTGGAAACATATTTCATAAAAATTTTGTGCTTCTTTGGTAAACTTTTCCATTATGCCCAGATTTGATTCCTTTAAGTTTGACAATTTCCTTTTTATTGTTAAAGAAATAAATTTTTCTTCAAATCATGATTTATATTGAAGGACAAAATCGTTCAAAATAAGGCAAACTTCTGTAGCTGAAATATGTTCGCCTTCAATCTTTTGAATCGTTTTGTGGAAAACAGATGCCTGATTATGGACAAATTACGTTAATACCTCTGATAATTCATTATTGAAAAAAGATTCTAGAATTTTTGGACATTTGTCTAAACTTAAAAAATATGAATCGAGAGGCTAAAATAATTGTAAAAGCAGGTATTAAAGCAAGCCATTTAGCTTTTGAATATCCTAAAAGTTTCTTGTATTCAACATTTGCATCTTCACAAAATTTTTTCAAAGTAGTCACGCAAACCATAAAACGACTAAAATAAAAATAAATTGTCATTATTATTACCTTACATCTTTTGTCGAATGCTGTGTTTATTGCATTCGACAGAATATGTGCATTACAACCTATGCCTAGTATTTTCTTTTGGAGTAAACATTGTAATTTTACATAGACATTACTTATTCCTTTGCGTCTTCACCCTCCAGAATTTGTGTTTGTATTATCCGCTGTTATTGTAACAACTTTATATTTCAAATTGTTTTCATTTATGAAATAATATATGGGGGTGGGGTTCTCCGAAATTTCAGCAGTTTCACCCTCAATGGACTCTAAATTTAAAATTTTTGCATGAACGCCCTTATTAACATTATAATATCTTGCTAGTATCGGATACAATTTTGTTTCATTATGATTTGAAGCATCAGATAAAACCATTACAAATGCTGTATTTTTTAAGTCTTCTGCAAGTACTGTATTATCACAGTAATTTTTGAATACTGATTTAATAATAGCCCCACATTTGGTCTGGCACATGAAAATTTAGAATTGTGAAAGTTTTTCAATAATTTCATTGTACAATTCATACTACCAAAATTTTGATTGTGAATTATTGTATGAAATGAAAATATTCGCTCCATTACAGCTTCCATTGCAGTTTTTCCTTTTTGGAGTAATTAGAAGTTTAAAAAAAATTTGTTATTTTACTACTGGAAGTTGATGCATCTAATGATTGCTTATGTTTGTTGGTGTTTAAGTGCTTAGTTATGGCTGTCTTGCCTCCAACTGCAATACAAAATTCTCCTCTGCGAATATTGCAGAAAACAATGGTGTCTTTCTTTGACACAAGAAATGGAAATATTATTGATCATATGGATTTATCCTAATAAATCATAGTGTTTCTTTAACATGCCAAAAGGAAATTAAGAATCTTTCCACATACTTATGTTATTAAAAATGTTTATTGCACATGCATGAAGCATTAAGTATATGCTAAAGCAAAACACTAACTAAAACTCAGAATCTAATGCTTTCTCCCTTTCCACAAAAAAATTTCTTGGAAGAACAAAACAAAACAAAACAAACAAAAAAAAAAAAAAAAAAACTGCTGCTGCTGGTTTGAAAGTCTGTATATTGGACATCGGGATTTTGTACTTTGTACCATAGTTACAAAATGATTACCTTTTATAAAATATGTTCCAAAATATCTAATAAAGAAATTGAGATTATTTTTCTAATTTTGCAAGTTGAGAATTTCCAAGTTAATTTCCTTGATGTTGCTTTTACAAATGTGGTAACATTTATTCCTATTTTTATGTTATTTTTATTTTTGCTGAAAGCCAGCTGTGTTTGTAATGGGACAACCACTTTCATTTTTTAAATATATTATTCTTGTTGTTAGTCATATGATTATATTTTATGTTGATACACACTGATAATTTAAGGTCTGATGTGTCAAATAAGAGAGTTTTGTTTTGTTTTGTTTTTTTGCTTGTTTTGTTGCTATAGCTGTTATAGCTATTTGTTTATCTGGTAAAAAAATTTTTTGGTGTGTGACTAGCTGCTTACATTTATTATTATAAAAAGGAAAAATTATAATTATAATTTTAATGAGCCCAGCTAAGAAATAAATATGAACTTCATTTATTGCTTTTAAATTGCTTAGT